CTGTTTGCATAGCTTCTCAGTGAACTACGGCTCTGTGAAGTAAATGCTGCTCCATCTGAAAGCATGTGAAAATACCACATTTCATTTTTTGTATTTTTACTCCAAACTCACTTCATACCGTCAGTCGAGTGTTTGAAATAAATCCTTCTGTGAGATGATGAGCCTTCTTACACAGAATAAGGTGAAATAAATCCTTCTGTGAGATGATGTGGCTTCTTACACAGAATAAGGCACGCAACATATTTCATAGTATTTAAGCAGTTATAAAGGCATTGCATTATAAATATACTTTATTTTAATGAAAATTATAATAATAAATACTCAGATAAACCATATATTGCCGTAGTCGTGTGTTTATTAGTCACGCTGAATCAACGAAAGCAGTTGAATCTTCTGTTTATTCAGCTGCAGCGATAGGCATTTTCTGGGTTTCTTCTGCGAGGCGTATTTGGAGTTTCAGCGCGATTTATTGTGGAGCCCTACATTGAGGTCTTATAAAGTCGGTCAGTCTGTGCATGAAACTGAATATTATTTACAACATTATTACCTGTAATCCAGAGCCTCAGGCAGATGGTCCGAGTGATGTCCGGTTTGTGAACGAATCTTCTTCTTTTGAACCGGTTCTTTTTAGTGAAGTAGTTGAACCAGTTCACCAAATTGGACTGAACTTCTGAAACGGCTCAAGCAGCACAGATCTACAAGTTGATCAAATCAAAACTCACTTTCAGATGCCAGACAGTCACTCTGACTGGAAATGAGCCAGTATGACAGCATACAGTATCTGATCCTATGATAAATTAAGTCATTCAGCGCTTCAGTTCCTCCAACAGGCACTGAACTGAGGAAAAAGTTTGAAATTATGGAAATTAATACTTTTATTTAGCAAGGATGATTTAAAATGATCAAAAGTAATGATAAAGACATTTATAAGGTTACAAAAGATTTCTATTTCAGATAAATGCTGTTTTTCTGAACTTTCTATCCATCAAAGTAACCTGAGAAAAATTCTACTCAGCTGTGTTCAGCATAATGATAATAATAAATGGTTTTCGAGCAGCAAATCAGCTGGGTTATACATGTAATAATGTTGTAAATAATGTTAAGTTTCTTGCACAGAGCGATCGTTTTACTTCATAAGACCTATCATTTTGTGTGCTTTGATATGTATTTTTTTTTAATGGTAGCCACTGAATTCCATTTTATGAATTACCAAGTAACGTTTTCAGCTAAAAATCTTTGATGCAAGAAAAAAGTCAACTACATCTTGGATGGCCCGAGGGTAAGTAAATTTTTTTAAATTTAAAGATTTAAATTTTTAACTATTCTTTTGAAGTTCTACATTAGATTTTGAGTAGGAAAAGATTCAACAGGAAACATAAAACTATGAACCATGGCATCTCATCATCGATCTTTCTTCATCTCTAAGGCGTGGAGTATAACGTACGTTAGCTGGCTGACGTTTGTCTTTCTGCTGTGGTCCTGTACTCTGTGGATGGTACGTGACCGGAGGAAATACGCCATGATGACCTCGCCGTTCATGGTGGCCTATGGGAACCTCCTGTTGGTCCTTCAGTATATCTGGTGTTTTGAGCGCTTGGATCCAGTGCCGGGTTTCTTTCTGAAGATGGAGGTGCCCTTCACTGAACTGAGCACCAAGGTAACAATTATACAATGAACTGCCTGATTTTGCATAAGATTATTTATTTTCACTTTAATCAGGCCTCATCAATAGGTACAGTTTCTGCTGTATATATCTTTAAAATATGTATATTTGTATTTAATATGTATATACATTTCAGTAGTATGTTTTGTTTTAGTGTAAATAAGAAATACAAATAATGCACTTTTACTTTTAGTGCCATTTTAAAAAAACTATTTTTTTATTCTAATAAAAAAGGTGCACAATCATCAAATATGATTGCTGCTCAATTATTATTATTATCAATAGTAACGTTTTTGAAAAAGAAATCTTTTATAACATTATAAATGTCTTTTCTGTTAATTTGATCAATTTTGATCTGTTCTTGCTGAATAAGGTGGTATTTTTTTCTTTTTCTTTTTGAAATCTTATTACCCCAAACTTTTGAATGGTACAAAAAAATATGAAGCAGCACAACTGTTTTCAACCGTAATAATAATCAGAAATGTTTCTTGAGCAGCACATCAGCATATTAGAATGATTTCTGAAGGAAATCTTTAAACATCTTTAAACACTAACCAGTTGCAAATGTGATATTTATTTACAATAATTCAATAATAAGAAGTTAATATTGTGGTATATATTAGATGCAATATTGTCTGATTTTGCAAAATTGTGTACAGTAAATGAAAGTATTACCTATAAAGCAACAGAATAAGTGCTGTGCGTCTCCTAACAAAACACAACAGGTGTTTGACTTGAAGCATATTCTACAGATAATTTATTAGGTTTTTTATACTATATAACTAGGCTATATAACTATAATATATAACTATAATGCAACCCCATGACAGTTAGAAATTTATAAAAACACTTATGATGTAAAACGTTGGTATACTGTGCTTTGTTTATAAATTTCAATCCATTCAGAAGAACCTTAATCAGTTTTTTGTTGAAACCCAAAAATTGGGTTTCTACAGAGCATTTTGCTAATGTGTTTTTGCCATTGTGACTGTTTGTAGGTTCTGTGTCAGCTGAGTTTCTGGCTTCTGCTCAGACAAACTTTGATGGAGAGACAAGAGAAGATGGAAGAGGAAGCAGCTCTTTGTGACGTCCAAATAGATGAGCAGAAAAAAGGTGGGGTCCTACATGTAACATACAGATGAAACCCTTTAATAGTCACTGCAGAAAATCTCTCTTCGTTGTTATATATTCATAAAGAAATAACTTTCCATGTGGGTTGCAGAGGAAGAGAAAGACAAAGAGGAAGAGGAGGGGGACGAGAACGACCTGATGCATGTGATTGGGAAACTAGTGATGGCTCTGCTGGTGAAATACTGGATCTATGTTTGCGGAGGAATGTTCTTCTTCGTCAGCTTCGAAGGAAAGATGGTCATGTACAAGATCATCTACATGATGATGTTTCTGTCCTGCGTGGCTCTTTACCAGGTGCTGCACTGCTGTCTAACCATAGAAAGCCTAGAAAGCTTGTTAGGATGTTGACTTACTTCACTACAAAAAATAAAATATATATTTTATGCAAAATAAAAAATGACAAAATAAAAAAACTACATGTATTTATAGAATTTACAATAAAATGTGTTTTATTATGTTTTATTGTAAAATAGGCTTAATTTTATACATATACTGTAGTTCACCCAGAAATGTATGCGTGTAATTTTTGCATAAAATTAAGTCTATATATATAATTTTATGCAAAATGTATATAATTTATTCTATTTATTGTATTTTTGCATCAAATTAAGCCTATTTTATATTAAATTGTTATATATAATTGTATATTTAAGAAAAATATGTTATGTTTATATATTTAATATATTTATATATTATATAATTAATATTAATATAAATATATACATGTAAATACATGTAAATATTTTCAAAATACGTGCTGTATGTGTGTGACTTTATATATATACATGATAAATATACACAGTACACACACATATATTATGTAAACAAAAACTTTTATTTTGGATACGATTAATCGCGATTAATCATTTGACAGCACTAGTTTGATCAGTTGAACTTACCACAAACCATACCATGCAGACCCTAGTCAGCTGCCTTGTGGTCCATTAAACTTTGTATATGACTAATTTGAGGTGCAGAGTATTAGATTCTGGCCAAAATGAAACCGTTTTAAGTCCGAATAATGCAGTAATGGTTCTCTGTTTGTCTCTCAGACTGAAGGACATCGGTCTGGAGAGGTACGTCCTCTCTGATCTGTTCACCCGTATCTTCATCCCCACGTCCTTCCTGCTGGTCTGCATCCTGCACCTGCATTACTTCCACGACCACTTCCTGCAGCTCACCGATCTCAAAGCCATCATCAGCAAAGAGCAGAGCACCATTTACAGGTGAGAGACGCTTTCCCGCCAGTCACAGTTGATGCTAACAGGAAGAGTGGAGATGTCATGTGTCATAAACGAGTCTTAACACAAATACCTGTAACCACATGAAATAATAATAATAATAAACAATTATCATCATAATGATTATTATGTGATTGTGATTGATTAGAATTGTTATTATTATTTTTGTTGTTGTTGTTGTAATGAATAATAATATGCAATAATTAGCTCAGAATTATTGCTCAGAATTATCATTAAAACATATTATTATTATAATAATAATAATAATAACAATTATTATTAGTCATTATTATTCATGCATGGAATTATTATTATTAAAACATAATATTTTATATAATAATTATGATAATTGTGTGTTGAACGATAACTCTTATGTTACATTGCTTTAATGATTAATTTGAGCAATATCTTACTTTAGTACTACTGTGCTCCTACTGAAGGAGTTTGTTTCATTCTTGTTGAACTTAACTTGACGTTGTTTCATCCTGATACCTTGTTTCCTCATTTCTTTATTTCTCTTCATTCATGACCGTTTTCTCTCTATTGAATCTGCAGCAGTGTCATCCTTGTTTTATCTGTTAAATGCTGCCAGTCATCAGTCTTATTTATGCAAATCCATTTCTGATTTTAACCAATCATGTGCTCCCGTCTTTCCCCTGCCATCCCTCCCCTCACAGCTATACTAAAGTCAGTGGTCGTATCTATCTGATCGTGGATAGGTGGGTGACTGCTTGTCTTTCTCTGGCATCCATGGAAATAACAACCAATGTTCACCTTTTCCCTGAATTCCCACAATCCCTCACTACTCCCATTCGCCAGTACACTCTTTTCTCTCTTACTGATATCTCTCTTTTTTTTTTTAAACGGTTCGCTAGATTCCTGGATAGATCAAAAAAATTATGATGTCTCTGTCACTGAATTTTCCTGTCTAGAACTTCAACGTTTCTCAAAGTCAACATGAAACCGCATTCAAAACCATTTTATTTCCATGTAACATTCAAAGAGGATTTAAAAATCCTTTTATTAACGGTTTGTTTTATTCGTCGTTAACTGATTGGATCATCAGATGATGACCAGCACGTCAAAACTTAGCATTATTTGCTGTTACAGTATTGCTGGCTGTATTTCTATTACATTTAACGGGCACTAAAAGACTGCGTTAACTGTTGGTAAGATTTTAGAAAGGCTACTTTACCTTCAACAGCAGCCTAAAATAATAACTAGAAAGATGTTTGGCTGTTCGTTAAACTGTTAGTTCACCCAAAAATTAAAATTCTGTCACTCACTCTCGTGTTGTTCGAAACCTGTAAGACCTTCGTTCATCTTCGGAACACAATTTAAGATATTTTTGATGAAATCTGAGGGCTCTCTGACCCTCCCATAGACAGCAAGGTAACTACCACGTTCAAGGTCCAGAAAAGTACCAAGATGATCGACAAAGTAGTCCGTGTGATATCAGTGGTTCAGCTGTAAAGTTACGAAGCTACGAGAATACTTTTTTGGGCAAAGAAAACAAAAATAATGACTTTATTCCACATTTTCGTCTCTACTGCGTCACTTGTGGATGCGCGTTCACGACAGTATCATGACGCGAGTGTGTGGTGGCGCCGACCCAGATCCTTGCTAGTTACCTTGCTAGTTACTCAAGATAGTTACCTTGCTGTCTATGCAGGGTCAGAGAGCCCTCAGATTTCATCAAAAATATCTGAAATTGTGTTCCGAAGATGAACGAAGATCTTACGGGTTTGGAACAACACGAGGGTGAGTAATTAATGACAGAATTTCATTTTTGGGTGAACTAACCCTTTAATTTGAACTATTAACTTGCATGGAGTCGGTAACAGTAGCTGAATGAAAAATCTAATAATTGCGGTTGATGAATCCAAACGTAGTGTTCACAAGATCACTAAAAATTGATCGGGTTGACGAGTGTGTTTATATGTCACAAGCTTCAGTATCAGATTTGACGTGCACACTGCACCAATATACAGAGTTTCCCACTGTTTGCACATACAATTATCCTTATGCTTCTTTTCTATGTTTCAAAGAACTGACTTAATATTTATTTATTTCGGGTGCTAAGCACGTGAATCTTTGTGCCATGCTGCTTTTATTTATCAAGCAGTGAAATTGCCCATTCCCATAGCCAAAACAAGCCCCGTCTGTGGATGAGAGTATAAAGCGAGGCCTTACAGGACCTTGTTCTGCTCCACTTCACAGACAATTAGTGGAAGGAGACTTTTAGATAACATGACAGTCATTTATGACACTTTGTTCTACAAATTCAACAGCTCATTTCACACGTCATGTGTCGTTGCACCATTTCTATGTAATTGCATGTACGCAGTATTTTCCAGTTTTGGTTTTCAGTCTGAACAAGTGTTTACATGTCCTCTTGATCGGATTAAAAAAGGTCTACACCACCCCTTCGAAATTTCATTTGGATCAAGCTCAGTCGCATCGATTAAAGTGTTTACATGAAGGCTTTTCTCTCCGATTGAGACATCAGTCCGATTACTAACAGATTATTTGGTTGCACGTAAACCTAGCTAGTGTAGTATTATTTAAATACTGTTATATCATTAATTAATATTTTGAATTAGCTTTTATTTTTAATTTCAGTTTTCATTTTGATTTAATTTAATTTAATTTCAAAGTGCTTTACATAAAAAAAAAGACTTGCAATAATCATAAAATAATCACAACAGATGCACAGGAAATAAAAATAGTAATAAAAGCAAAGAATAAAAATGATTGAATATTTACTTAATGTCTTAAAACAGTTCAGAATAAACTTTTAGTATTTTTTTTATTCGTTTTTAATATTTTTATTTAGATTTAATGTATTTTCTATTTCTGTATTAGTTGTTTTTTTTTAAGTTTAAGTTTTTCATCTAATATTTGTATTTGTATTTTATTTAATTTCAGTTACTGAAAAATATATATATTTAATAGTTTTAGTTTTATTTAACAATAACAACACTGGCCGAAAGTTCAGAGGTGGGGTGGGTTATTTACTTTGATCATTGTTTATATCTTTTTTTTTTTTTTTAATAACATTTATGGCTACAAATGTGTATTGAAATGCTAAATAGGGTCGGTTTTGATTTCATGTTGACTTTAAACCTCTGCCTGCTCAAATGCATCCCAGAAAGTCCTACTTGAGCCGCTTGACGTCAGCGGTTTATCCTGACGATAGTCCTGCTCTCAGACTCTGACAGGGAATGAATGTCCTCAGCATGTCTCTGAAATGCACGTCCTCTCCTCCTCAAAGAATCTCTCTGTCCCTCTTTCTCTGTCTCATCTTACAATAATGCTCAATTGTGTGAAACGTTTCATTGCTTTGATTTCGTGTATTTCCATTCTGTAAATTGCTTCAACAGCATCAAGCAAAAAATCTCTTCTCCTCAGAGCAAGTAAGTGTGGTATAAACAAGGTAAAGCTTTGACATGAAACCTCATCATGCAAGCGTTTAAACCCTTCATAGCAGCGAGACCATCCGGAAGAGGCCATTGCCACTAAAGTCTGACTGCTGAAATAGTTGTTTTGGTTTTTTGGTCACGTGATTCATGTATGGCAGACATATGCATTGCTTCTTTAAAAAATAATAACGCAATCCAGCTTGTTCCTTACGGATCTAATGCACACGGCATCCATGTTTTCCACCCAAACCCTGCCTGTGGAATCCTGATTCAAGGTTTATGCCGTTTATTAGACACTAACATTCAAATAACTGTTTTATAACCCAAACCGAGCTAACTTGATCAGCATGTGATCTAAGTTCAGAGAAAGTATGGGTGGTTCATCAATTACAATAACTTTTCTCTTACTTTAAAGGATTTTAAAGACAAAATGCTTTAAAGAAAAAAATGTCATTCTAATTTTACTGTAGTTATTTATTTTTCTCAAATTTTTGTGAGTGTCAAAATGTTGAATTTGCCAGAATTTTTTTATTTTTCTTTACATTCCAATGTCAGGACAATTGTTAGCATATTTTCTTAAGAACTTCTAAATTAAGTTCAATTAAATTAAATGAAATTGGTACAGTTTGTGTTTTCATAAATATATATATATATATATTTATTTATTTAATAATTTAGTAATTTGTTTTTAAATAATCACTAGTAAGTAGTGCTGTCATTACATTTTTATAAAAAGTGTTTTTGTTTAATGATGGAAATGAAAAGCAGAGTGATAGTATGAAGAACAGAAATGCATTTTAATTTTTAAACCCATTTAATCTTTATTTGGTATCATCATTAAACTAGGTCATATTTGAGCATTTTTAATTAAGAAACAATGCATTTGTTATAAATTCAAAACAGATGTACAGCAGATGTGTTGTATTAGCGGGCAAATTCAACTTTTTAGTCATAAAGTGAAAAAAAAAAAATCCAATTACTGAAAGGAGATTGATGAAGGCTGTTATCAGATCTTCATGAAGAATCTCTCTAATTGAAGAATCACTCATATGTCACATGTATACTGTAAATGAGTGAGACCGCTCCTAATGCACTCTTCCTGATCTCCAGACTGGCTCATCCTGACGGGAGTCTGGCGGATCTGACGATGATGAGCACCTCTCCAGAGCCGCTGCTGAAGGAGGAGAAGGAGAAAGAGTCCATGAACGAGGTGCTGGTTGTGGACTGTGTGGAGGAGGAGAAGAAGAAAGAGTCTCTGTCCATCCATTCAGCTCACCTGTCCAGTCAGGAGGACATTCAGCAGTTCAGTGCCGCCACAGATCCAGAACTGCCCTCAGAACAGAGCTCAGGTACTGCGGTCCAGTCCAGAGGGAGCTTATTTAGTTCATTATAAACGTATGTTTGAATAAATCTGTCATGGAGACATTTTTTTTATGAAAACTATATGCAGTTGAGTTGTACTACAGGCATTTTTGAGTGAGATTATTACTGTATACCTGAAGATAAACCACTGAATATAATAGTGTTGTTCATTTTAACCATTTTATTTTCTATTCCATTTGGACGTTTTATTTTTTATTTTAATAAATTTGAATAACACCAGGCATATATACAGTGTGTGTATATATATACAGTATATATATAGAGAGAGAGAGTTATAAATGTTCTTTTATGGATTTTTCCCCTACTGTAGTCTAGTGTATTCTACAAATTTCAATGCATTTTTTCCCCTTTTTTCTATGTTCCCATTTTATTTTTAAACCAGTCAAGAGGGCATTACATTAAATTGAACTAAAATCCTCAGAAGTGTGAAACTGTTGGCTATTTCTGCAGTTCACGTTTTTCTTCTTTTTTTAATGGCATTTATATATGTCTGTTTAACTCTAAAGCACTTACGACTCTTGTTTTATCCGTATTTTGTCTTAGATTCAGTCTGTTTAGTATTTTGGTCTTAGATTGTGTCTCTTTTGTTCATAACATGTATACTGAGGAATACATAAGCTGATCTCTTCTCGCTCAGACCTCAAGAATAAATGGCATTTGGTGGTGGACCGGCTCACGGTCCTGTTCCTCAAGTTCCTGGAGTACTTCCATAAGCTGAAGCTCTTCATCTGGTGGCTCCTGGAGATGCACATCATCAAGATCGTGTCCACTTACATCATCCTGCTGTCTGTCAAAGAGGTAGAAGCTCAAACGTGAGGTTATGGTACAGTAATCTGAAGGTGTTTCTGATTCTCACGCGCGTGTCTTGCAGGTTTCGCTGCTGAACTATGCGTTTTTGATCTCGTGGGCGTTTGCGCTGCCGTATCAGCAGTTTCGAGTGCTCGCTTCCAGCGTTTGCACCATCTGGACATGTGTCATCATCATCTGCAAGTTGTTTTATCAGCTAGAGACCATCGAACCTAATAACTACTCAAGTATTTGTACTATGGTGGGTTTCTTTACTCATCAAATGAGTTTGTCGCTGTTCAGATGGGATTCATTTTCATTTAATGTAAAATGCTTGTCATTTCAAGCCATATCTAGTTTGGCTGTAGCAGAAGAGAAGATTTGCTGGTTCTTGTGTTTAATCATGTGATTGTGGTTTCTGAAGCCATCCAACTACACAGAACAGCAAAAGATGGATATGAATCATTCCCTACTGTACCGGAAGCCCGTGGATCCTGCAAACTGGGTCGGCCTGGAGAAGTTTGTTGATATACTGCCCAACCTGAGGGTGAGGAGATACGTTCAATGTTTTCAATGAGTTAATCAATAACATATGTCATCAAATTAGCCTCTACTGAGTGTGTAACTTCGTGTGTTATGCTAAATGTGCAACCTATTATGACCTATTATGCAATATTATAATTTTTATTACAGTCTAGGATTTCATAAATTTAAAGCTGCATTTCATAACTTTTTTTTTTTTTTTTTTTTAAATGATCCAAAATCAATTATTGAGCAAGTACATAACCAATCAGTGTTCAGATCTCCTTACCTTAGTCAACGGTCTTATACAACGGTAAGCTTGTAATAATGTTTTCTGTTTTGAGTGGTTTGGGTCGTTCCTCTTTGCGTCATTACATCACATCTGTATGCATAAAGAAGGAGGTTCTTACAGTAAATATAAAACAAAACTAAAAGCACATGTATTATTTAATGTTACCATTTGAAGTGGAGAAGCTTCATTTTCTGAAGATGATGCATTTCATTGATGAACTGATTGACTTTCTTATGTACAGAGCTTGTTTACATTCATCTCGCTCTTCTCTTCCTTTCTCAGAATAACTTGTTGATGTTGGCCATCTTGGCGTTTGAAGTCACCATTTACAGACACCAGGAGTTTTTCCGTCTGAGAAACAAACTCTCTCCTCCTCCCTCTCGGACCATCTTTCACAACATCACCCGGCAACACCTCGACAATGGCATCATCAAGTGTGCCAAATACTTCATCAACTACTTCTTCTACAAGTTTGGTTTAGAGGTGCATTTGATTTACTTAGATTTACTATCTATCTATCTATCTATCTATCTATCTATCTATCTATTGTTCTATCTATCGTTCTATCTATTGTTCTATCTATCTTTCTTAGTTCTATCCTTCTATGGTTCTATCTATCTATCTATCTATCTATCTATCTATCTATCGTTCTATCTATTGTTCTATCTATCTTTCTTAGTTCTATCCTTCTATGGTTCTATCTGTCTGTCTATCTATCTATCTATCTATCTTTCTTAGTTCTATCCTTCTATGGTTCTATCTATCTATGTATCTGTCTGTCTGTCTGTCTGTCTGTCTATCGTTCTATCGCTATATCGTTCTATCTCTCTCGGTTTGTTCCGGTGTGGCGTCAGGTGTGTTTCTTGTTGGCGATCAATGTGATGGGTCAGCGGATGGATTTCTACTCCATGCTGCACGGTTTGGCTCTGGCTGTGGTGATGTACAGACGCCGGAGGAAAGCCATCGCTGAGATCTGGCCCAAATACTGCTGCTTCCTGGCCTGCATGATCACCTTCCAGTACTTCATCTGCATTGGAATCCCACCGGCTGCTTGTAACGGTGTGTTGCTCTGGGCCTTTTCAAACGTCTTACTTATTATTTCTTTTAGTATTAGATTGTTTCCATCTACTACACTATATAAGAGCACTGCAGCATTCTGGGATTAAGCACAGATTCCCATTCAGTTTGATATTGATGCAGAATCTCAGGGGTGTAAAAATACTCTTAAGGATTATTATGACAAGTGATAAAAAATTTAAATTAAAACATAAAATATTGACTTCTAAAGCCACTGTGTGATCTCTATTAACTGCTTCTGCCTGGAACAATAATGAAACGTCTTTGAATTGTTTATTGGGGCATTTGAGGTTCATCTGCAAATATTGATATGCAATTAATAAGATTAATTGTCCAGCATATCATGTATTTAATTTGATTAAAAATTATTGATTGACAGCCCTAATTGTTACTCAATATCATATTTATTTACTTTAATTACAATTCCACTTAGCCTCTCCCTTGTAAGAATATCAATAAATCTTTTAAATAAATGTTTTACAAAATATTTTTTCTTAGAAATAATTATTTTCTAAATTTTAATTTAAATGCCGCTTGTTTTTGAGGTTTGTAACACTTCATAAAACATCATCTTAGTGACCATCAAAATGTGAATTTTTATGTCCATTCAGTGTAGTAAACCATTACTGCTGTCCAATCAATGTGCCAACTTCTGTGATACCATAACATCTGTATGTTTGTATGAATTTTGGTCATTTTTCCAGTGATCTAGAATGTACTGAACTTCTCTTTCTAGATTATCCCTGGAGGTTTACTGGCTCCATGATGGATTCTGACGTCATTAAATGGCTTTACCTTCCTGATTTCCACACTCAGCCCAACTCCATGTTCCTCGTCTGTGAGTTATACCTCAGAAATATTCAGCAGTAATGCTTATACTGTATGTGTTGCCATTTAACGTTAGAGTTTGTGCTGCTCGGCAGGACATGTGAACATGAAACAGCGGTCAAACTAAATCAATCCTCTTAGACTTGCAGGGTCAGACTTTTGACCATCAGCATAAGATCTGGTCCATTTCAGTCCAGGTTATTCTGACCCACATGCAAACTGACCGGACACATTTCTATTTTTTAACGTGACGTTTAGGGAGTGGGTAAATATAAAATTGTACAGTGTTTGTCGCTGATGGACAACACCAAAGAAATGAATGCATGAATGCCTCAGTCAATGCATGATCTTAAGAATTGAATTGAATTGAATTTAATTTTAATATTTTACTTTATGCCTATCTAAAAGTATTCAAGCAAGTCTTTTTTCTGCTAGTTTATTAAATTATCACAATATTTTATGTTTTACGTTGCTTTATTTTATTTTCAAAATACTACAGAAAATTACTTGCACTGCCATAGTCAATAAATTATATTAGGAGATTTGATTTGAAAACACTGAAGAACTCAGTCTATGTCTGTCTAAAAGTAATAAATTGTCCTTTTATGAAGTATGTGAAGCCACCCAATCCTTTGTTGTACTCTGTGTGTATCAGATGGTGTGTAACTGCCATCAGCGGTCAGTAGACATGCAAAAATACCGTCAGCCTCCTCTATACTCGACGTAATACAGCCTCAAATTAGAAATTTGATCGCATATCTGCTACCACTGCCAAACAAAAAACCCGACGACAGCTGTGGTTAAACGCGATTAAACGAGCAGACTGGACAGAAAGGATCGTCAAAAATGCTCATGTTTGTTACAGGTCGGCCGATCTGGTTTCGTGGTTAAAGTTAACCTTTTCGACATGTTTCCGTGTTGTTGTTGCTCAGCAATGGCGTAGACGCGATGTTGTCTGGGGGTTTGGCAAAAGGAGAGTGGGACGGTGGGCGGTGCTCGGGGTGGTGACTGAAGGTGGTGACTGTGTAGTTCTGATGTCAACTTTTTACGGAAGTCACAACGGTTCGTGAAAAATAGCTAGAACTTTAAGCAGGCTGTGTGAATTTTACTGTGGACTGACTGTTTTGAAACTTATATGGTAGTTACATAGCACCTCAGTTATCATGAAAAAAGCCAGGAAATTTCAGTTTTGACAATATGGGACCTTTAAATCCGTTTCCTCTCTGCTCTGCTCTCGTGTTTGTTTGATGTAGATGACTTCATGCTGCTGCTGTGTGCGTCGCTGCAGAGGCAGGTGTTTGAAGATGAAAACAAAGCTGCCGTTCGTCTGATGGCGGGAGATAACGTGGAGATCTGCAGAGATTTGGACGCAGCGTCCTTCAGCGTTCACAACCCCGTACCAGACTTCATTCACTGCAGGTACACACAACACATGTCCTTAACTTACAGCTTCATGCTTAAACACTAATATCCATCAGATAATTAATTTAGAGTTAATTTAATAACAGCAACAACAACAACAACTACTATTATTATTATTATTTAATTTTATAAAACGAATAGTTCCGGTCCTTGATTCTGATTGGTTGGGCAGCGTTCGAAGCTGTTGTAAATTACTCTACAAACATACACCTTTATTTACTTCTGTGTGTTGACACTTTATTTGCTCTGTTTTATTCTGTGAAACCTTACTACGTATATGGAATAACCGTTTTATAAAAGCAATTATTTTAAAAGTATAAAGTTTAATAATAAAAATTGGATTAATAATAAAGAAATTAATAATAAACAACTTCGCTTCGTGTCGTGCCTAACAACGCCCCTTAGCTGTTATAAATTATGTTAAAGCCTTTTAGCAGGTTTATTATGTTTGAGAGAGCCAAATCTCATAAGATGTAAAGATTACAGTCTGAAAGTGCTAAATATGTGCCATTCACGAAGACATTTGCACAGTGTATTTTTTCCTGATATAGTGTTCCAAGATGTTAGTTTGGTCCACCATATGATGTCTGGCAAACAAAACCCAAAAATATACCATAACATCCCACCTAACATTACCAAGTTTTTAAATATACTTTTATATTGCAATAATTTCACATGCAATCTTCAAATTAATGTACAAACAACATAAAGACAGTATATTTTTCATGTTTGTTTAATGGCATCTTTTTTCATGACTGATGGCCAGTATCACTGATACCAATACTACTGATGTCTCTATAAAAATTGAGAGCTATCAATTTTAACATTTATTAATATTTATTTATTAGACTTTGACTTTTTCCCCCGGATATTTTTTCAGACATTTCTTATGAAATATTGTCCCTGCATGTTGCTGTCAGTGTGAATGTCTGTATTTCCTGACTGACTGAGGTTGAGGAGCAGTTTATTCAGGTCTTTGCATGTCAGTCACTCTACTGTACGTGATCCTCTTTCACCCTCACTTTCCAAGAATTTCCATGGATCATATTGCAGAAAGAAGGGAAAAATCCATAAGGCACCATCACATGCTCTCTTTCTCTCTCTGCCTGAGCTCTAACCCAATAAGTAGCTTTTAAGTATGGACTGATCTTTTTTCTACAAGGTGATTGATTTTAGGGGAGGAAGCTGCTGCTTGTTGTGGTCCATCAATGCAATACATCTCAGCTTTTCATCAGAGCTCTTAGCACAGGCCTGTGGCTAAACACAGCGTCCAGCGTCTGCAAACAGGCTGTGAAGCCAGGAGGATGTACTTTAACCTTTGGAGCGGCGGGTCTAAAGTACATTTCAAAGCATGTGTGAGCTTTTAGCGTGCAAGAAAATGAGCAGCGCGTCCATATGCATGTGCAGGAATCGCTCTGGGTATCGATCCGCTCATTATAATTATGCCTGTCAGGATGTCTGATACTATATAGGAAATGAAGCATAACATTTAAATAAATTATGGCTGCCTCCCCGTTTGCATACTTCCACTGTGCACTTAACATCAAGTGTGTCAAGTTAACTTATCACATTATTTTACTCATTATGTTTTAAATTATTTTATTTCTGTTTCATTTTCAACCATAACGTAGATAAATAGTTGGACAGCCACTGTAAAACCTTAACTTATGAGTCTATTTATATTTGAGTCAAAGACGAAAAAGGGTTTAAGCATAAAAACAATAAGTGTAATACTGCTTTAAATTGTTGTTGTTTTTCCCCCAAAAAATGTAAAAGTTTTTAATTTAATTGCAGTTTTGTTTTTCTGAGCAAAAAATAAATATCATACATTTTTCCCTGATTTACAGAAGAGACCCACTAAAATGTCATTCAGTGTAACATTTTTATTTTAGTTTAGGTAGGCCAGGTTTTTTTTTTTTTTTTACTAAATAATCAAATGCAACTCGACAACGCATAATTTCTCTTTCAGACAGAAAAAAAGAATAAGAAAGGATAAATAAATTAAATACTGTACAGTAAGTACAGTATGTAAATAAGTAAATTACTATTTTTTTCAGATGTTGTTTTAATCAAATAATCAAATGCAACTTAACATATTAAAATGTTCTCCTTTAGACAGAATGAAAAATAAAAGGATAAATAAATCAAGTAAATGAGTAAATAATTAAATCAATAAATAAATAAATTTCAGACCATTTAATTAGATTGATCAAATGCATCTTGGCAAATTAAAATTTTCTCTTTCAGATTAATATTCAAATAATGATAAATTTAACAAGGATAAATAAATAAATAAATAAAGTTTGTAAATACTTCTGATACGGTTTTATTTTAAATAATCAATTGGAACTTGGAAAATTACAATTTTCTCTTTCAGACAGAAAGAAAAATAAAGTCTAAATAAATCAAATAAACAAGTGTGTGTGTGTGTGTGTGTGTGTGTGTATGTATATATATATATATATATATATATATA